TTTCAGAAGCACTAGATTTGCAATGTGCATGATTAGCAACTTGCAGCCTATAGCAGCACATCCAAAAAATAGTTTAACAACTTTTAATATTTTGTTTTGTGTGACTATTGGAGCTTGAACTCAGGACTTGGGTGTTTCTTTAGATCTACCACTCAAAGCTTACATTCTACTACATGAGCAACAGCTCCACTTCCAGCTTTTTGCTGCTTAATTGGAGGTAAGAGTCTCATGGGCTTTCCTGACTAGGTTGACTTTGAATCACAATCCTTAGATCCCAGCCTCCTGAGTAGCTAGGATTATAGGCATGAGCCACTGGCACCAGGCTTTTAATCATTTCTTTCGAGCAGCTTTAACTGTTTCTTTTGATGTTTTACCAGCTTTGTATCAGACTGTGCCTTAAATTAATGCTCTGCATCTTAAACTTGAACATGCATCAAAATCCCTTGAAGCATTTAGGAAAGCATAAGTTGTTGGGAGTTTGTGCTTCAGTAGCTCTGGGATAGATTCATTCAGCATGTACTTCCCTAATAAGTTCCCAGGTGATGGGACGCTGCTAATCTACGTGTGCTCTACACTATGATATCCACAGATTCACTAAGAGTTTCCATTTCTGTCTGGGTTGATTGGAGATTATGATGAAAGGGTGGTGGTTCCTTTGCCTCGTTCTAACTCATAAAGTTCTCCAGGGTTTGAGCAGGAGGGAGGAAGAGTCTGTATTCTTTATGGTGACCAGATCCCCAATACCCTCATCATTTTATCAGGTTAACCTATCAGGGAAGGCCATGAAGGATGGGGAAAAGTTACCATTTGTAGTCTTCACCTCCCTCTTTCCCAAAATTTAGAAGCAGCTTACAATACAGAGGAAGAGACAACTATTTTTGCACACATTTGCAGTGTTTGCTCCTGACCTAAATCTTCTAGCATCTTAGAGACTGTTGTAGTCCCAAGGCAGTAGTGGGAGCATGCAATGGAGATGCCCAGAACCTTCAAGTGGCTGGCTTGATGACTGAAACTGGCCATTTAGGGGCCATCAGGTGACATGGACTTGAAACTCCTTGGATGACTTGGGCATGTCTCCTAACTGGTGCCCCATTGTTAAGGAAACGTCCCCCACTCCCCTCCACAACCATAAAAATCAGAGAAACAAAGACATGGGTCTGGTGAGTGACATCCTGGGGATTTATGAGCTGATGGGCAGAACACTGAGAGCCTGAGTAGAAAGCTGTTGTGTAAACACAATATATTATTAATACAACATTTAAAAATAGCTCCTATCCTCTGCTATTAATAGCTTCTTTGGGCTGCAGGCATGGCTGGGTTCTGACACACAGGCTTCATTCCTGTTAGGAAGAGTTTCTGTGCTGATCAGATTTGCAGTACATTTAAAAGAAGAGGAAAACGGGTGTTCACAACAGTTTTGGGCATATACTGGTGAGGAACATATGATTACAGTTCTGTAGAATTAAAATGGAAAATTTATTTTGACTTTCATTGCATTTCATCATTTCCTTTTCTTTCTCTTCCATTTTCTCCTCCCTTCCTTTTTGCCCTTTCCCCTTCCCTTTTCCCCATTTTGTGACAGTACTGGGGCTTGAACTCTAGGTCTCACTTATTTGTCCTTTTCCTCAAGGTTGTAGCTCTACCACTTGAACCGCAGCTCTACGTCTGGCCTTTTGCTTGTTAATTGAAGGTGAATCTGATAGACTTTTCTAGCCAGCTGGCTTTGAACTCTGATTCTCAAATCTCAGCCTCCTGAGTAGCTAGGATTATAGGCATGAGCCACCAGTGCTGGGCTGTATTTCAGATTTCAGTGGGGCATTTGGAAGAACTGTTAGGAATCTTCTTTTGCTAACCTCATTGGTAGCAATTACTGCTCATGAGACTCCATGGAGGGAAACATACAGGTGACTTGTGATTGGTTAATCAGTTAAAGATTCTCTCCAGAGAGAGTGGGGGAGGGAGAGAGAGAGAGAGAGAGAGAGAGAGAGAGAGAGAGAGAGAGAGAAAGAGAGACACAGAGAGAGAGACAGAAAGAGAAACAGAGAGAGACAGAGAGATCCTACATTCTGCTACTGTAGATTGTAGACACTTAGACATTGAAGATAATGGTTTTTGACCCAAGGGATCTAGAGCGTACTTCTGCATATGGATATGTAAACAAGAAGTTATGTGTTAAGACTCTTTCATCATTCTTGCATTTTAGTTGCTTTAGTAATGTAACAGATCCACAGCCCACATTTTGTGCAAACTAAGGGACATGCTCATAGTGATATGGTGAATGGTGGGTACTTATAACGTCACTGGCCTTGTTGGTATGAAGCACAGGTGTCTGCCCCCATGTCCCACCCAGAGGAGATGAGGATGCAGTGACAGGTTGCCTATAGTTCTGATATACTGGTGGTGACTACCTCACTTGTGTCTCAGGGAGACGAAGCTGACCAGTAAATACACGTACCACCACTGGGCTGTTAGGGCTCCTCAGGCTCCATCCTTCCTTACTTGCAGGATGGACACTCCCTTCCTGCTTCCATTCAGACAGCTGTGTGAGCTTCCTAGGAAAGGGCCTCACTTGCGTCTAGGCCTTGCATTAGATAAATATTACACTAGGGAAGTAACCAAATATAGAGTCTTGAGTTCACTCCAGAGCATCTGATAAAAATGGATCCAGACAGCTGAGCACCTCTGGCTCTCTCGTGTAATGTGAGCTACTCAGGAGGCTGAGATCTGAGCATTGTGATTCAAAGCCAATCCAGGCAGAGAAGTCTGTGAAATTTGTATTTACAATAAAACTACAACAACAAAAAAGCCAGAAGTGTAATTGTGACTCATATGTTAGAGCACTAGACTTAAGCAAAAGAAGCTTAGGGATAGCACCAAGGCCCTGAGTTCAAGCTCCAGGACCAACACACACACACACACACACACACACACACACACACACTCACACACTCACACACCACACAAAATAGAACCAGACTGATTCTCAAGAAACATTTAAAAAAAAGTTTCTCTAATGAATGGGAGTATAGTTTGCCTTCAAGGCTAAAAGCTGATGAATCTGTAGTTGAATTTGTTAAAAGAGGATAACCTCTGATTCTGTATCACTTAGGGATTTAGTGAGTGATGGTAAACCCCATTCTGCAAAACCTTGGAAATCTAGCCTCACTTGGGGCTCTTTTCCCATACTCACTTCCCAGTGCACATTTGCTCTGATGGAGATGATTACTCCAAGCCCTCATTACAGAAGGTCTTAGACTCTCTTCCAAGGGGACACTTGATGTTCAAGAGCAGGTGCTTTGGGAACATTGATTTCCAAGTACTGGAATCTCTGCCTTTGCCATAGTCCTTGGTTACTCAGAGACCCTCCCATAGGTGTACCTCACTCCTCCATGAATCCTCTGTCCCTGATTGCCTGATGGGACTGTCACAGCCCTCATTTTAGCTGCATAAGCCTTTTTTTTTTTCCCGGTTATGGGGCTTGAACTCTGGGCTTGGGCGCTGTCTGGCTATGCACTCTACTACTTGAGCCACAGTTCCACTTCTGGTTTTCTGAGTAGTTTATTGGATATAAGAGTCTCACAGTCTTTCCTGCCTGGGCTGGCTTTGAACCAAGAGCCTCAGATCTCAGCCTCCTGAGTAGCTAGGATTATAGGCGTGAGCCACTGGTGCCCTGCTCATAAGCATATTCTTAATGTCTGACTTTCATGAAAATGCATGGTATCCTTGGACCCTGATCCATTTATTCAAGTCTCCCTTGAGATCCCTAGCCCATTCATTGCTGCCTCCTCCTCCTCCTCCTCCTCCTCCTCCTCATGCTCCTCCTTTTCCTACTCCTCACTTTGCTCTATCCTGCAACAGTTCTTTCTTTTTGTCTAGGCCTTTTAAAAAATAAAATGTATAGCTAGAAGCCAATTGGGTAGATTCCATATAGCCTTGCTTATTTGCTTTTATTCCTGACTTCTGAATTTTGAGGATTGTGTCTGTCCACAGGGATAATAAGTAGGTTCTCCTTCCAAGTTAAGTGCCCAACTTGAGACCATACTTTTAGTCCAGAGAAGAAAATCTAAGCTGGAACATGAAAAATGATATTATTTGATAGTAGGGATAAAACTAAATGATGGAAACATTAGGTTGGGATAGGAACAATCTAGAGATAATTATACTCATTCTGTCTGTTTTCTTTGGGATTTTGGCTTGTGTACAAATATTATCATTTCCTCATGTCTATCTCTTTAAATTTTCTGTATTTAGATTGCCAGGGACTTGTACAATCCCAAGCCCAAAGATTTTCTTGTCATTCCCCACCCCACACTCCCTGAGTGTCCTTGTCAGCTTTACCTCTGGCAGCTTCCCTAACTTCCTTCTGTGTTGGGTATTTTAGTTGACCACACCCTCTCTTCTCTCCCCTCACACCATAAGAGAAAATATCTGTGTCTTCCCGCAAATACACTTTTGTCATTACCAAACCATTCTTCCTCATCAGTGGGAAAAATCAAAAGAATCCAGAGTAGACTTGGCCTTTGTCTAAGCTGATGTGAATGGGTTACTTTTAATGCTTGGAGTCTCATTTTGTTTCATCTTCAGGTAGGAAATATTCCCAGGATCACCCCACAGCTAAAAGGGCCATCCTTGGGCTCTCTCATGGCAGATAAACTCTGCTCTTCATTATTTAGCTCTTTACTCTCTGGTTTGAGGACTGAAGTTATCATATTTGTCAGGACAAAGGGATAGAGTTCATGTCGGAAAGACGCATGTTAGCGCTCATGGATGTTGCTAGTGACGGAAGGTGGTGAGCTCCTTTCCTATGAAATTGCCTCTGTGATAAAACCCTGAACTGTATTCTTCTAGAGGTGAATTGGTGTCTATCCTGGGGGGTGTGGAGAGTTGCAGTTGAATTCAATTCCCAGATTGTGTTCCTGTCTCAGTCTTCCATGCTGACTGCTCAGCTGTGTGGAGTTCTCCCAGTTAAGACTCTCAATGTTGTGTTTTGTTTTTTACAGAGCCTGTGTCATCTTGGGGGTGATATTCCTTCTCTCCTCCATATGTATAGTGGTCAAAGCCATCCATGACCTCTCAACTAAGCTGCTCCCAGAAGTGGTAAGGTCCTTCTTCTTTTTTAAAAACAATTCTTTCTGCAACTCCTGTATTGCCTCTCACCACACCTTTACTTGGAGGAGCTGGGCAGGTGGTGACAGTGATGGTGATCATGGGAAACTCAAGGACTTTGAATAGGATGACAGGAATGCAAATAACTTGGCAGGGGGAAGTACTGGGTAGGTGAAGAGGTTTACAAATAGTTAAGCTAGTACTGCGTTCTTTGTCCTCCTTGGGACTTTTGACTAGTTTCATAGCAAGATGTCTCTTTTGGTAAAGAGAAATGGAGCAGTGATTTAATCTCTGTTTTTTTGCGTCTGTTGTTCAGTATCCCTTCTGTGATGGATGTAATAAGATTTAGTTTTTTCTTTGTACCTCAATTCAAAACGTAATGGATGTAATAAGATTTAGTTTTTTCTTTGCACCTCAATTCAAAACGTAAATCTTGTCACATTAGGTCTTTTTCAATATAACTTCATTCAGATATAGCAATTGGAGGATGCAATTTCATATTAAAATGTATCTTTTAACACTGTGACCTCTGGGTGAAAGTCATTATTTGAACTTGAATTCTTTTATTTTCCCTCTTCAGCCTATCAATGCTGAGAAAAGAAATATTTGTGAAGTCTTTCATCAGGCATTCTTCAGAGAAAGCAAGTGATTTGGTTACCAGGAGATGGAGATGCTGCCATTATAGTAATGCTTAGCCTACAAGTTCACAACAATATGAATGTAAAATATGGCCTTGTAGGATATGATTTGGTTTGAGTGTGGCTGTGGTGCATTGTCTTAGATAAGATCAGAACGATTCAACCATTAATTTCACTTTTAGAAAAATGTCTGTGAATTCTTTTGGGGTGATGCACTGTATGGATATGTTTTGGGGGCAATGGGAATGGAGTGGGGCATTCCAGTACATTCAGTAGAGGCTAAGTTGTTTCCTACTCTTTTTGTTTGTGCTGATATTGGGGCTTGATCTCAAGACCTGGGTGCTATTAGCTTTTCGCTCAAAACTAGCGCTCTATCACTTGAGTCTCAGCTTCACCTGTGGTGTTTTGCTAGTTAATTGGAGATGACACTCATAGAATTTTTAGTTTTCATGTCTCAACTTCTTTTTTTTTTTTAATTTTATTTGTGAAGATACTGTACAGAGGGGTTACAATTACATGGGCAGGATAATGCGTACATTTCTTACCAAGCATTGCAGCCTCCTCCTTTTGTTTACCCTTCACATCCCTTCCCAGCCTCCCCCTTCCCCCCCAATCCCAATCTTTCTCCTTCCCCCCCTTACCCCACCCTTCCCGCACCAACGTAAAGCTCATTTTGGACATGACAACTTGTACTTCTCATTGTTGCAACAGGTCCACCTGTATCTTTAAACAACTGGTTTTTCCCCATCTCCTCCTCAAGTTATTCATGTCTCAACTTCTTGATGCGTAGCCAAGATTACGGGTGTGGACCACTGGCATGCGTCTCTGCTCCCTTTTACACTGAGATTAGAGCCAGCTTTTTCATAATCCTCCAGGGCCTTAGCTGTTATTGATTACTGCCATTGGCTACAAGCAGATGCTCTACTGTCTCAGTGATACTGAGGGAAGATGGATGCCAGGCTAGCAGTGTATCTACTTAGGGGATTTGATTGTTTTCAGCAAAGCAAGCTCAATCAAATCCTAGTATTTATTACAGTCTTGTGCTCTTCATTGCTTAAGTACAGAATTCCCTCACCTTGGTTGCCTGCCCTGGGGTCTTAGACTTTTCCATCCAATTTTCTATCCCATGTTCCCTTCCGTCAGAATCTGAGCATAAGAGATGAAGGCACTGAGTGTGATTGTACATATTAGACATGAAGACATTTCTGCATCTTGCAGAGGATGCAAACATGCTTCAACTTTAAGGAATGTTATTGAGTGAGAGTTTTCGGCAGTATGCCAGTTGACATGTCACTTATTTGGGCATTAAAAGCTAATTTCCAGCAGGGGTAACTTGACATGGAATGGATGACTGTGCACTGGCCCTTCTGAGGTTCTCATGTTTTTGTTCAGAATTACTTTTAGCTGGGAACAGTCTCTTTATTTCAAGGTGTAAAATACTCTTAAATGAAGAAACTTACCAGCCTAAATTCTATCTCAGAAAGTAACTGTCCGATGTTCTGTTGAAGGCAGGGTTCAGAGGGGTTCGTAGCCCCATGGATTGGCCCAATATGGCCCCTGTCTTTGGAGATACAGTATTGCAGTTTTATCAGTTTTAGGGTGGGATTTAAGAAATTACAAACCAGGCATGTTGTGTCATCCCTGTATTCCAAGCTACTGGGGAGGCTGACATCAGTAGGATCTTGGTTTGAACCAGCTAGGGCCAGAATAATAAAAAGAAGGTTCTTGAGACCCTCATCTCAATCCATAAAAAGCTGGGTATTATAGTGCATCTGTTATCCAGCTTCATGGGAGGTATAGGTAGAAGTATCACTGTTCATATCAACCCCTGAGGCCCACTCAGAGACAAAGTTAGTGTCTTGAAAACACTAAACAAAAAGGCTGGGTTGTAGCTCAAATAGAGAACACTTACAGTTCTTGAAGCCCTGGGTTCATTTCTTAGTACCAGAAACAAAAAAGGCACAACTATTTATGGTCAAGAACTGTTTTTTTATCTTTATAGTACAGTGTAATGAATGGTTAATGACTGCTTTCAGGAGCTTAGGTTCGGCTTTGGGGGTGGAAGGGGGAGAGAAAGGCTGAATATCACACAGGGCCAGGTAAATGCTATCAGGTCATAGCCAAAGGTTTTTCAATTTCAAGTCGTCATTTGCTGTGCATTAGAAGTTTCTCAAAACCAGGAGGCTTTAGTCAAGCCCCAACCCCTGACCTGCAAAAATGATCATTCATCTGTAGTACTTAATGTAAATTAGGAACCGCAAATTCAAATGCCCAGAGTTAGATTTGAAGAAAATGCTTGAGAAACTGGCCAGAACTGTGGAGCCCCAAAAGGGTCTGCTCAGGTGAAGGCTTTGGCCTTGCCCAGAGTTGTCATGACAGGATGTGGACCCATGTTATAAGATCTGAGTACAGAGCCCTTCTGTTCATTCAGGAGCAGGTCTTCCTTCCCTCTGGACTGCTTTCTTTTAATTCAGCTGCACAGTTTTCAGAGTATGGACCAATGCAAGAATGGATCACTTTTGAGTACGATATCTCTGTAGTTAGGAATTACTCAACCGTGAAGTCAGCTGTTTTGAGCTTCCTCTGTGTCCTGCCCCTCGGGGTTTGTAAGAGGAGGGTAAGGCCAGCCTGGCTGTCTGGGGAACCCTTACCCAGGACTCTGGGGAGTCTACTGCAAGTCTTCAAAAGCGAATGGCCTGAGCCTACTCCAATGCACTCTGCAGTTACCTCCTTTGTTTGGTTAATGTAACATTCCAGAAGAGCCTCCTGTGAAATTGCATGGATCAGGAAGGTAGTGCTTAATATAATTTTTTCCAAGTTTTTCCATTTCCTAACAAATGGGGCAATGTCATTCTTTCTGATGGAGGCATAGAATTCCATTGTGTATATATACCACATTTTCTTGATCCATTCATCTACTGAGGGGCATCTGGGTTGGTTCCATATCTTAGCTATAAGTGAAGTAAGCCAGGCCCAAAGAAACATAGGTCCCATGGTTTCCCTTATATGCAATATCTAGTATATGTATGAGTCAAGCGGAAAAGGTCAGATAGTGTGATGTCAGGAAAATGAACCCTTAGATATGTATTTTAATGTTTTTTTCTTTCATGCATGTGTTTCTAACGTATTTATAAGATTATCTCTTTGTTGCTTTGTATGTCCCTCCCCCACAGTATAACCCCTGCTTTCACTATATTTGATGTCAGTATAACTTGTGGAGGAGATGGGGAAAAAACAGTTGTTTAAGGATACAGGTGGACCTGTTGCAACAATGAGAAGTACAAGTTGTCATGTCCAAAACGAGCTTTACAACGTCAGTGCGGAGGGGGGGGGGGGGGGGAAGGGGAAGGATTGGGACTGGGGGGGAGGGGGGAGGCTGGGAAGGGATGGGAAGGGTAAACAAAGGAGGAGGCTGCAATGCTTGGTAAGAAATGTACGCATTATCCTGCCCATGCAATTGTAACCCCTCTGTACAGTATGTTCACAAATAAAATTAAATTAAATTTTTAAAAAAAAAGGAGGTAGTGCTTTATAGCATGAAGAAGACCTCTAAACAAGAACAAGCAACTTCCAAAAATCTCTGGCTCTGTTTACCCGTGGAGTGCCTTACCCGTTGTCTTTTAGCTAATGGTTTAGTTTTTAGCTGGCCAGTGAAAGCTGTATGTGTTTCTAGGGTGTGGCATACTGTTTTCATGCATCTGCATTGTGGAGTGGCTGATGCGGGCTGCTTTAAAAGGAGCATCATGGTCTTCTGGTTCCGTTCCCATCATATTCCACTTTGGTAAAGAAGGGTGGATGGTATGCTTCTCTCTCTCTCTCTCTCTCTGTCTCTGCTGAGATATATAGCTTCAAGAGCTGAAATGATCTTCTGCAGGGCTATGGTGGAGGTAGAGTGTCCAGCTTCCTCCCTCTCCCCGAGCTGGCCTCATTTTTGGAGACTCCTGCCATTTTGCCTCTTTCCACACAGGCCCCACTGCACCCATGACACTGATCGCCACGCCCACTCTACCTTGTCTCTTAAGAGATCCACCAGCTTGTGAGTCAGCAGCATGCAGCTGGAAAAGGATGGGGTGAGGGGGTCCCTAGATGCATAGAGTCTCACAGAAGGTGGCTGATCTGACTCATCTCTGCTGCTGCTTCACCTAGGAGGCCACAGGCACATCACATGCTCTCTCTGGTGCTTGGTTTTGCATATAAAAGAGAATTACTTATGCCAGGGGTTTACAATAAGGATCCAATGAGCAATTTATTTAAAATCATTGGAATTCAAAGATGACAGTTGCCTCTTTAGGTTCTGCTTTTTGGAGTTTCTAAACTACTATTTGAATTGGTCCCAACTCCCAACTTGAGGCC